GAGAAGGAGGAGGCTTCTCGGGTGCCCCAACGCCAGGGGGTCTTTTTGTCTAAAAGACGGTGAAGGGGCTCAGCAACAGTGGCCTTGTGAGGGAGGAAAGAGCTGTAGAAGTTTAAGAGGCCAAGGAAGGCTTGTAGGTCAGTTTTGTTTGTGGGTGTGGGGGCCCTTTTGATGGCAGCTATCTTAGATGGTGTGGGGTGAATGCCGGAGGCATCAATTAGATAGCCTAGAAATTCTACCTGGGATACCTCAATCCTGCATTTTTCTTTTTTGAGCCTGAGGCCAGCCGTTTGGAAACGGCGCAGGACGGTCCTTAGCTTCCCCTTAAACTCTGCTATGCTAGAAGCTGCGATGATGACGTCATCGAAGTATGGGACTACTCCAGGCAGCCCCTGCAGGAGTCGTTCCATAAGGCCCTGAAATATGCCCGGGGCAACGCTTATGCCAAACTGGAGATGATGGCACAGGAATGCTCCCCTGTGTGTGACAATGGTTTGGGCTGCGGCAGTGGCCGAATCAACGGGGAGCTGTTGGTAAGCCTGTGCCATGTCCAGCTTGGCAAAAATGGAGCCCTTGCCCAGGGAGTGCAATAAATGTTGCACCACGGGCACTGGATATGGATTGGCCTGGAGCACCTTATTGACGGAATTTTTGTAATCCGCGCAGATGCGGATTGACCCATCAGGTTTGATGGGTATGACAATAGGGGTTTCCCAGGGGGCATGGTCCGTGGGCTCTAGGATACCCTGGGCTATGAGTTTGTCTAACTCTTTATCGACTAATGGCTTGAGAGCAAAAGGCACTCGTCGAGGCTTAAGCCTAATAGGGGCAATTCTAGGGTCTAGATTGAGGGTGATGGGTGACCCCTTATATTTCCCTAACTCTTCATTAAAGACGTCTGCGAATTCTGCCAGGATGTCTTCAAAATCATGCGGGGCGGTGGAATGGATGCCCGTGATGCCCAGCCCCAGAGCGCCAAACCAATCAAGTCCAAGCAGGCTGGGCAGAGGATCTCTCACGATGAGCAGGGGTAGCTTGCCTGTGAAGGTTCTGTGTTCTACAAGGAGATTGGCGCCACCAAGGATGGGAATGTCATTGCCTTGGTAGTCTCTGAGGCGAACTTGGCTTGGCAGGAGGGCGGTTTTTTGCATTTTTGGGTTCAGCCGCTTCAGGGTGTTCCAGGAGATCAGAGATTTGGATGACCCTGTGTCTAGCTCCATCCGGCAAGGGGTTCCTTCAATGGTTACCGTGAGGTAAATTTTTTTGTTGGGACTAATTTTTTCTTGGCGGGCCGACCTCGCAGGGACGTTGTTGGCCCTGGAAATGGCGAAACAATCACCGCCTGGCTTTGGCCCTTTCTGGAACGGTCTGCTGGGGGGCTTGGATGGTGTGCCAGGTATATTGGCCCGACAGACCCGTGCCAAGTGCCCTTTTTTACCACATCTGCGGCAGATGGTGGTCTTAAGGCGACAAGCCGCTCTAGGGTGCAATTCTCCGCACCCTTGACAGGGGGGCCCCACGAAGGTTTTGTTTGAGGGGTTTCCCTGTCCTTTGACAGTTTTAAGGCGGCTAACTTCATCGTCCTCTTCTTCTGCTACCTCAGGGTCTAGTTCTTCTGAGTGCACGGTGCTGGGCTTGTTACCGGGGGCGCTGGGTTGCGCTTTGCGAATCTCTAGAGTGGACTTGCTTGATAGCTCGCAAGCCTGCGCCTCTTCAATGGCAGTTGCGAGGGTGATATCTTTTCTCTCGAGTAGGTGTCGTTGCACCCTCGGGTCCCTCACACCGCACACGAACTGCTCCAGGAGGGAGTCTTCTAGATCGGCAAATTCACAGTTAAAGGCAGCAGTTCTGAGGGAGGCGATGTAATGGTTAATGGACTCTCCCTCAGCCTGTAAAATTTGCCTGAAAGCATACCGGCGAGCGATGCGTGAAGGGGTGGGCTCATAGTGGTGCTTGAGCTTTTCCCTCAGGACCTCCCATGGCACCGACTGTACTGGAACCGGAGCTAGCAGGGCCATAGCAACTGAAAACATTTCGGGACCACAGGCATTTAAGAAGTGCGCTCTTTTCCGGCTGCTGGTCAGCCCCGTGTAGTCGTTCGCCTCCAGGAAACATTCGAACCTTGCCTCATACGACTTCCAGGTTTCTGTAGTCTGGTTGAAGGGGGCGAATGTCGGAGGTGCCATTCTTAGACAGATGGGCTCTGTTTCTGAGAGGAATTTCCTCTACACGACGTCTCGTCGTGAAGTGACTTCAGCTGAGCGCCTTGGCTTAGCGCTAGTGACTTCAGCTGTTGACCACCTGTCTCTGTCCTCAGAATCCCATCCTCGTCGCCAGTGCTCTGAGGGCAACCCTGGGGTCATTAATTGAGGCGAGACCAGGTGAAGTCAAACAGGAACGTTTATTGCTAACAGAACGGGTAGAGAGAAACAGAGCAACAAACAACGGGGTTTGACAGCTATTTATACTACAGCTGTCAAACCAAGCAACAAATAGAAAGGCAACATTCTCCCGCCGGCAAGTCCATGCGTCTTAACCAATCAGGGACGCCCGTCGTAAGTCGAGGACTTAACAATCTTGTGTAAGTAAAATCTGCATCTTTATGTGGAAGGCAATCTTATGATGCATTGCTTTGCAGTACTTTTATGATGATAGAAATACACACTGTGGAAAGGTGGAAAAGAACAAAAAGGATCTTTTTAAAAAAATCAATACAATTTGGTTTAACTGAAATTAAGGGTATTTCCTGTACATAAGTCAAATAAAGAGCAAAATTTTATAATAATGCAAAGAAAATCTGTGGATCAAGTTAAAAACGAGTCTCTTTAGCGGCTCCAAGAAAAAGAATTATTTCTGCCATGAAGTATAAATGAGAGAGCAACATTTAAGAGTTATTATACATAGTTGACCCTTAGATCTCTCTTAAAGGTCAACTATTCCCTCTGAAGAAAATTGTTATTCAAACAGAAAACTAATGCAATGTGTTTGCTAGCATTCAACATTCCCTGTCACCCCTTTAGTTCTGTACTTTGATTCTTCAACAGGCCTAGTTTCCTCAACAAAAATGGAACCAGAAGAAGCACAGTGGAGGAGAATTGTTAATGTGTGAAAGAAATAATTTCCCCCTCTTTCAGGAAAATAATACTATAAAATAAGTTTCTTTCTGCATACAATCAAAAACTACAACCTCACAGCAGGAGTTGATGCAGTTACTTTTATTTATTAATTTATTAATCATAATTACATTTGTAGGTGCTTTTAAATTCATTGTTGCAGGTATAGATATATTTGGAAGCAGTGGTGGGTTTCAAAATTTTTTACTACCGGTTCTGTGAGTGTGGCTTGGTGGGCGTGGTGTGGCTTGGTGGGCGTGGCGTGACTTGGTGGGCATGGCAGGGGAAGGATACTGTAAAATCTCCATTCCCTACCCAATTCAGGAGAAGGTTACTTCAAAATCCCCATTTCCTCCCGATCAGCTGGGATTTGGGAGGCAGAGAATAGATGGGGTGGTCAGTCAGAGGTGGTATTTATCGGTTCTCCGAACTACTCAAAATTTCCACTACCAGTTCTCCAGAACTGGTCAGAACCTGAAACCCACCTCTGTTAGGAATATGACCTTGACAAGGATGGATAGGGTATCTTGACGGAAATGTTTTATGTGAGTATGGTGTAGTTTCTTTTCTTATACAGTGCTTTTGAAATTCTCTTAAGCGCTATTTTGATATAATGCATATTGTGATTCTGTTTGTGGTATTAAAGTAGTTTAAGATGAGATACTTTAGATGCCCATAAGTGAGCAAGCACATGTGCCTATAAATTCCATTTACATCTCAGGAGAAAATTATTAACCAAAACTACACCTATCTACTGTTTTTATTTTGCTTATTAGAGGAAAAATGTAATGCATTCTCAGCTGAGACTAATTAAGAGAATATGGTTCACTTTCAGCCATTGATATTGGCTAATTTTCTGCCTCATTAAGTAAATTAATGGGCAGGAAGTTCTCTACTTTAAAGAAAGCAATTCGAGTAAAAACATGGTGGTAACAAGAAAACACTGTTGGGTTCATTGTAATACTGAGCCAAATGCTTGAGAGATGGAGAGTTTTGCTAATGGTTTTAACAATCTAGAATGCATTCAAACATTAAAACAATTTTAATTTAAAATAAAAATATTAGGCTCATTAGACTAGAAGTTACAGTCTCTGCACCCATCATTTGCATTGATCTTGTTGTGCTACCTCATTGTGGCATGTATTTGTGTGCATATGTTTGCTTCTGGGAGGGATGAGTGAAGAATGTCAGGAATGTACTTCCAGCAGAGTCACCCAAGTTGGGGAGGTCATCCCAGTTGCCCAACTAAAGCAACCAGATGTCTATCAAACAGCAGTGGTATATGAAGATATTGGAGCTGAACAATCACTTTAGTAACAACAGCAAAGACTATATGGGAGAATACAGTGACAATTCCAGTATTTTATCAAGAAAACCCCATAGCTACTGCATAGACAGAAATTCAACAGTTTTATAGTTTCTTCCTATTCACAGGTGTCAAACTCGATCGTGTCACGTGATATATCATGAGGTATTGTGACTTTTTTGCCTTTGCGGAGGCAAAGGGTGGGCATGGCCTGAGTATGACTCAACCGGCCTGCGGGCTGCCAGTTTGAAAGGCCTGCTATAGATGCATTGCATATATTTCTGTTTGATGCATCTCAACATAATAACTACTTCATAAATATATTGAGGTATATTGACTTGATCCTGCTGCTATAGTATTGAGATATGTAGAAATTCAGCAAGTGGGGAGAGGCAAGGACAAAACGAATGGTGATTTCCCTATGTCCCTACCTTTGCATATACCAGCAAAGTTTTAACACCTAAAACAATTCAGAATATATTCTTGCTCACTGGTTGAAATGGGAAAAATACAATCTTACCTTTTAAGGAAGTAGACTGAAAGATATTCATAGATTATTACTAATATTGCTCTGAAAGAGATTCATTTTTGCAATTTTTAATAGAACTCGCAAAACTATGTGATCTGTTCTGAGAAACTTTCCAATGCTCCCTAGTGTATTCTTCCAGGAAAGTTGGTTTCAAAATCTTCAGGAATATTTTGATCCAAATCACATTCAAAAGCGTCAGCCCCTTCTTTGCTTCAACTCCCATTATTAGTAGACCCAAGTGACCTTCTATAGGAGATCTGAGATAAGGTGAAAGAAGCAATTGGTACAGAATCAGCATCCAAAAAGGAGTTGACTTCCCTGGCCAGTTACGTTCCTGGATATGTAACTGAATCTCTGTCTTGGTGGAGATTAACAAGAGTGAGATCACGGTGGGGACTAAACAAAAAGAAGTAGCAACTGTGAAATCATAGAGATATCACAATGATGAAAAACAGATGATGTTTCTGAGTAGGGCAGGCTCAAGAATTGAGAGCCAGTTTGGTGCAGTGGTTAAGGTATTGGCCTATAAACCAGGAGGCTGTGAGTTCTAATCGCTTTAGATATGAAACTCAGGTGGGTGCCTTGGGCCAATCATTCTCTCTCAGCCCATCCCACCTCACAGGATGGATGTTGTGGGGAAAAGAGGAGGAAGAAGGAACGTTATGTATATTCACTGCCTTCAGTTACTTATAAAGTAATAAAGGAGGGATAAAAATTTAATAAATCTAATAAATAAAACAAAAGCACATTGCTGAGCACATTGTAAGCCGCCCTGAGTCTTCGGAGAAGGGCGGCATATAAATCAAATTAAAAAAAAAAAGTGGGTTTTGAAAACAAAGAGGGGTGGGGCAGGGCCAGCCATGCAGAGAAGATGGCTAGGAGAAGATGCCCTCTCTAACATCAATGAACTTCCTGCTACCCATCCAGTAACAAAATGTACTGCCTTTTTGCCTATGTTCCACAATGCCTTATTGTACTTGTATTAAGAAATACTTTTCCAAATAACTGGAAATCAAATAGGGATGTTGAATGTAAATGTTATAATGGCAATTTCACTATTAAAATGCAAATGACTGGGAACACCCAGTGGTGGTATTCAGCCGGTTCTGTCCGGATCACGCAAACTGGTAGTGGCAACTGTGGTAGGCTCCACCCACCCGCCTGGATGTAATGTGTGACTACTGCGCATGCGGAAAAGGCCGTGCGCATGCACAGAAGCACACACTCACATCTGCGAACCGATAGGGAAGGTAAGTGAATCCCACCTCTGGGAACAACCTCCCATTTGTGACAGTACAAACTGTCAACACAAACTGACAGTAAATCACCCTTTAAAAACCTGGGAAATCTGCCTATAGAAATGTGGAGATTTCTGTGGAGATTTTCAGGAAGGGAGAGGAGAAGAATTTCACAATCTGCCTTCTGCTCCCACAGACCTTGGATGGAAACAAAATCCTTCTGGGTGTAGATGACAAGGGCTTTAACCTTTAACTTTATTTTTCAGATTCCAAGGACTATTTTTATATTCTGAATGGCTCAAATGTTACTATATAGCACAGGGCTATTTAGTGATTAAAGACACTTCCTGAGTTTCAATCTATTTATGTGTGAGTTGGGAAAACTAACCGTAACCACATCTGACTGTTCTTGCACTTGAGTGTAATACCAAAGTACTACTCGTGAGCAGGCTGAACTGCAAAAAAAGAAAAAGAAATGACTCCAATGTTTCTCTTTTTCCTCTGTAAAAGCAGTTGTTCATTGATATTTATAGACCATAGAAAAGTTCAAGTCCTAGTCTGGTGTTTTTTGAGCGGTGAGAGGCATTTCAAATATGATCAGACTGGATTTCATGTTCCTCCAGTTTCAGGCACTATTTTTTTTTAATAGTCCAATTCCCTTGTGGGCAGAGCCAGTTTCGTTTACATTTTTATTTAGTGTTGTGGAAGAAGACGAGTAAAACATTTCTGGGATTTTATACTTTTTAAAGATTTTATATGCTTTTTATAATTCAAGACACACATTCATTATTAAGTGCTTGGAAATTTAGCTTAGATCACAGATCAAAGCATTCAAGAATTTTGATCAGAGACACGACTATCTACAGTATCATCTGTCTGTCTGTCTGTCTATCTATCTTCTAACTATCATCTGCCTGCCTGCCTGCCTGCCTGCCTGCCTGCCTACTTACCTACTTATCTATCTATCTATCTATCTATCTATCTATCTATCTATCTATCTATCTATCTATCTATCTATCTATCATCTATCTATCTATCTATCTATCTATCTATCATCTATCTATCATCTTCTATCTTTTACCTATCATCTGCCTGCCTGCCTGCCTGCTTGCCTGCCTGCCTCTCTCTCCCTCTCTCTCTCCCCCCCACCCCTCTCTCTCTGAATGATCAGGCTTGAACAGACAAAGACAGAGCATTACCAAAACTCTTTCCTACATTTAATGGACAAACCAGGGAAAAGAGGTTAGCAAAGCCTGGAGTGATTTTGATAGATGTTTAAATCCATGGCCTGTCAAAATATTTACCAGTTTATATAGTACCACTTATATTTATTTATTTATTGCAAGAAGATATGTGAATGTCCTGGAAATAAAAATGTGCTGTCCCAGCAAATAAGATGATGTTAAATTCAGTTCAATTTTCAGACAGGAGCCCATTTCAGCCAAAGCTCTATTGTTCCTGATGAACAAAGTTGGGTTGAAGGCCAATACTATTTTTCCGTATGGGGAATTTAGAGTTTCTTTATACCTCCACCAATTGATGATTTACGTTTTTGTCCATGATTTGATAGCTGTGATGAGCGCAGAGAGCTAGTTCTGAGACAGCCAACAGGCAGGCAGACAGATCTACTGGATAAAAAATTGGAAGTTTACAATTAGATCCTCTGCTATTTACACTTTAGCAAATACCAACTCTGGGATTGAGCTAGGGAGCACTTAACAGATGCATAAATAGACCAACAACATTTATTATAGGAAAAGTAAACATGGTTCATAGTTATTAAATAGATTCTCAGTGATTTACCAAAATCCAGCAGATAGTTTATGCTAACATACACAAAGCAGGGGTGGGCTGCTGGGGATTTGCAGGGGTTCACAGGAGTTTGGGAGAACCTCTAGCTAAGATTCTGTGCAGTTTGGAGAACCCCCAAATCCCACTCCTGGCTGGCCCCGCCCATGCCACCCCTTCCAGGAGTCCCCACGCGGCCTGTTTTGGATGCAGGGAAGTGCAGGGCGCATGTGGAGGCTCAGGGACAGTGAAAAATGGGCCTATCGGAAGTTCAGGAAGGAAGTTTCTGGCTTCCAGAGGGTCTCCAGGGCCTGGGGAGGCTGTTTTCGCCCTCCCGGAGGCTCATAAAAAGCCTCTGGAGCCCGGGGAGGGCAAAAACGCACACACCCCCACCATGGTGCAGGAGGCCGACTAGGCCACACCCACCATGGCCACACCCACCCAGCAACTGGTCAGAGAATCCCTTGCTAAAATTTTTGAAGCCCATCCCTGATGCAAAGATACTACCAGATATTCTTCTTTGCTATCTCAAACTTAACAACTTTCCCCGTTCATTCAAAGAGGATAAGACGCCAAAACTACTTCACCTTAGGTTTGTGTAATGAAAAAAGAATCTGCAAATCTGCTGCCCCTTAATGATTGTTGCTGAACAATTCTGTGGGCTTACCTGATAAGGATACAATAATTGTTCTCAGTGGTAAATCAACAGAATGTAGCTTGATATTTGCAAACCTTTGCTTAATACTGCTAGATGAGAAATATACACAAAGGCTTGTTTTGCAGTACTACAACATTCTGCTGGCTAAACAATATAAATATAAGAACCCTATCTAGAAAATAGTAGAACAAGTAGAATGGTTTCTGTAAATGTTTCCTTGATTTTTGTAAAAGGTTCTGGACTAGTCATGAGTCAATAGAAAACCTGATGCTGAGTACAATTGAAATCTACCCTTTCCACATTATCCTTTCCTTAATTTCAAAAGAGCTGGGGTAGAAAGCCATTTGCTCTCTTAGAGCATAGCATTCAAATTGAAATCTCTCTATTTAGAAACTAATTATAATCCAAGTAGTTTTAGAAAACTATTTACTTTTAATGATTTCTGGAGTTTGAGAAGAGATAGATAGATAGATAGATAGATAGATAGATAGATAGATAGATAGATAGATGATAGATAGGCAGGCAGACAGATAGACAGACAGACAGACAGACAGACAGACAGACTGAAGATAGAAGATAGATAGAAGATGATAGATAGACAGACAGACAGACAGACAGACAGACAGACAGATAGATAGATAGATAGATAGATAGATAGATAGAATGATGCTATTATACAATATATACAAAATGGATGAACTGCATTTTACTGTGAAGATCTAAGACCTGATATTGACTTCTTTGAAGATAGTTTGTTAATCTGAGCCTAAAAACATGAATTGTTGATAAATCCAAAATTACAAAAAAAAGATACCATTGATCTAGTCTACTTATTAAGAGATGAAAAAGCAAAATAAAATAGCTTTTCTTTACATAAAATAATAAGCCTATTAGCTTTGATAATCAATTTTAAAATATTAGACAATAAGACAATCACAGATGTGGAAGCTTATGTTTCTTTATGGCATTATGAATCATATCCTTCCTTAAATCTCTCAATTCCTTATATTCCAATCCCTTCTTGGGTATCATTTTCATTGCTAAACATACTGTTTGCCAATCAATTTATTAAGGTTTATCTTGCCTGTGCCAAAACAAATGTTCTTGCTCAAAGATAAAAGGAAGTCTAAAATTAAAATAATAATTTCACATCCTTGCTTTCAGAGCCTAATTATGGGAGAAATTTGGCACATAGAAACTTTTGAGGTGATATGGAACCCATATGTCAATACAGCCCCTTTTAGGGTGACCCTTGCTGTTCACACTATGTTGAACAATTCATGCCTGCTGGGATTGCAATAATAGGGAGACTGTCTCTTGGAAAACAACTACTACTTTCTATATAGTAGCCTTCTCCACTTTGGTATCATCCTTCAATTTGTATCATCCTTTAGCATGAATACTGCAGGAACTGAAAAGATGTAAAGTCAGTGAAGGTTGATGTAAAATTGTCTTGCTTTCTATATCAAGTCATTAAAGCATCTACTGTAACAAGATACTTTTTCTGAAACAGAAAAACAATCAAGAAGGAGATCATTCTGAAGCTGCAAGCATTCAAATCCATGTCAAATATATGGAGATTTCTATCTGGTATTCCTATCATTGCATTGAATTTAGTTTTCCTGCAAATATCTAAAACAGGGGTGTCAAACTCATGGCCTGCGCTGGCCATGCCCACCCCTGTTTTAGCGAAGGGGGAAAAAGTTGCAATACATCACGTGACTATGTGTCATCGCGAGTTTGACACCCCTGGTCTAAAAGATCCTGGCTGATTAGCAATGATATTGATGGGGTTAGAATTAAGACTATTCGGCAATAACAAGATATTCGGAAGACAAGGAAAGCATCTCCCAGTGTATCAAGCTGTAGAGAACTCTAGACGTTCCAGTTACAGGATCATGAGAGGATCATTATCCTTGGTCTAATTATCCTTGGTTTTTAAATTGTCAATGGGTTTTAGTTTGAATGTTTTAAATTTTGGGCCAAAGTCATGTAATTCTTTTAAAAATTTTCAATTTTGTATTAGTATGTGTTTTAATTCTGGCTGTGCACCGCCCTGAGTCCACTAGGAGAAGGGCAGTATACAAATTGAATAAAATAAATAAATAAATAAATAAATAATGTTGATCTGTATTGATTCAGAGAACAAACGAAGTCTCTGTTAGAAGTCAGGGTTATATTGATTTTTTAAAAAAAACATTGATTGCCCATGAAATGAAGGGACTATGCCATGCTATGCTATGCCTATGTTTGTGGAGACAGAAAATATTTTTGAAGCAGCCTATGAATGTTGTAGATCAGGGGTGTCAAACTCAAGGTTCCAGGGGCCAGATCTGGCCAATGGGGTGCTTAAATCTGGCCCACGGGGCCACCCTGGAAACAGCAAAGGACCGGCCCATGGTGCCTCAGCTTGGCCCAGGCTGACTCGGTGCTGATCTACAACCTGGTGGCAGCCGTTTTTCTTGGCAGAGTGCTGGAGCAGGTTGTTACAGCAGAAAATGGAGCGCCATTCACGAGCTCTGTTTTTGCTGGCAGAGAGCTAACAAAACAAATTTGCTTGCCCTCCACTGCCTAGGGGAGTGAACAACCTGGACTACCATCCAGGGGTCCTCCACATGGCCTGAGAAGGATGGTGAGGCTCCCCTGGAGGACAAGTGTTTGGCGTTCTCGCCTTCCTCTGCTGGAGACAATGGATCCCCCCCCAACCTCACCTGGGACTACACAGGCACGCCCAACCCGAATGATGTCAAGCTGGCCATGCCCACCCTGGCCACGTCCCTCCCCCCAAAGTCAAACACAACTCTGATGCGGCCCTCAATGAAATTATACACCCTTGTTGTAGAAGATGAGGCTGCTTACATGCTTCAAAAAGAGGACATTAGTACATTATCTCTGCATTGTAAGAGATAATGTATCTCTTCTTTGAGATACTTCTTTGAGATACTTCACACAGCCCTGTTACAGGTCTCTGCTTCTGGATGGCTTTATCTACATACTTGTAAAAATGCTCAACCAACTTATTTGACCATTATGCTGAACTTTACTAAAACAAAGAGTTAATCAAAAGCAGCTAGTATGGCTGCATCATGGAGTATCTCTAGTATGGAGCATCATGGTACTAAGTAAAGAAAAAGATTACTGTATGGCTGACATTGATAAATGAGCATTTGATATGCAATGTGAGTATGGGAAAAAGAAATTAGTTCTGTAATTAACTGCTTAAGGGCCCTCATCTTGAAAGTACTCTCTAACCCATCATGGCATGTGTGAAGAAGGCATAAATATTTGAGTAATTTAAAATGTGCTGTGAATACTTCTAGAGACTCACAAACTATAATATAAGTATATGTATTGTATCATTTCTCACTGAGGAAGCTGCAGCTGTTATGTGATATGATATGATATAGATGACATGATATGATATATGATATGATGAAATATTTGAGTATTTTTTTCTTTTTCACTCACAAAATCCTCAGTTTTCTGAAAACTAACACTACGGTTATTTACAAACATTATTCTTATATAATCAGATGTCATTAACAAAGTTAGTCAGAAACCTAAGAAAATATTATGAGACTATACTGACATTGTTAATGTTAACATGAAGCCTATTTACTTCAAATCTGTATCTGTATCTAAATAGATACTTTTTTTTTAAAGTTTGATTTACAAAGAAAAAACTGAACTTAAAGTATGAGATTTATGGCATTCAGTCACATAAATATTAATATCTCCACCAATAGACAATAAAATGAACACAAAAATATTATTTATACTTACATGATGTTTAGTATGTTTTATGACTGAAATGCTATGTGTTGTTATATGGATTAAGACAAAACTACAATGAAACAAAAAAACCCACAATTCATAGAAAATACAGAAGACCTGAATCAAACAGAAAACTGAGGAAAAGAATCTGTGGGAAAAGAGAAGTCAATTTGAAAGCAGAGGAATAAAACACGGAAACTGAATCAGTAAATAAAAAGTCATTAAAAGAAAGAAATCTTTGCCTTATACCAGAATATTATAAACACCAAAGTATTCCCATGTCTAATAATGAGAGGTCAATAGGTAGTCCTCACTTGCTGACAGTAATTGGAACTAGAAACTTGTTGCTAAGTGACACAGTCAAAAGATGGAATGTCACATGACCACAATTTACCATGGAAGTCTTAGCAGTTCCAGTTACTGTAGCTAGGGTTGTAACATCCATTGGCCACATGATTGCCATTTCCTACCTCCCACTGGCTTTCCCATTGACTTTGCTTGTCAGAAACTGGCAGTGGACATTGCAAATGATGATCACAATGTCATGGGACACTGTGACAATGGGATTGTGAGCCAATTGCCAAGCACCTGAATTACAACCATGTGACTACAAGGACATTGTGATGGCTGCAACTGCAAGGACAAGAACAAGTCCTCCTTCCTTGTTCATCACCACTGTAATTTCAAATGGTCACTGAATGAGTAGATGTTCAGCAAGAACTACCTGTACTAATTAGGTCTTCCTGTCTATGCCGCCTGTCATTTTTCATTAGGCAGCAGCTGTTAGAGAAGACACCAAACTCAGTGTCAGAGCCAGACTTAGAATGTAAGTGTCTGCATGTTAAGGAGGGAGTTAAGTTCTCAGATGAAAAAGACTTTAAAAGACAATAGCAGCTCTCTGGATTGGATCCCAAAATGAACTGAAAATCTACCACAACTCAGCGGCAGAAATCTGAACGGGGCATCACATTTTCTGTACCTCTTTGGCTGCCATCTAATGGCAGTTCTCATTTTTGCACCCATGATCTGGTAGTGAAGAGCACTGAAATAGCTGGTGGAATCCAGATAGTGTTCCTCCATCAACACAAGATTTCTGTCAGCAAAATGGAGAAAGGAAGCATTTTTAACAGTTCGTCCAATTTCCAAAAGACTGTCCAACATTCCCGGAGAAATTTGGTGGGACACACTAGCCCACAAAAAAAGAAAAGCTGAGTATTGACATCCTCTTATTGTGCTGATGGAGCGTTTCCCTTACAGAACGTATGTTGGATTTGATCCAAGGTCATAATACCTAGGACCACTTAGTATTCTCAAAACCACATTTGATACCACTTGAAGCCTCTAGCCAATTTTAAAAGGAATGTTATGTACAGTACTATAAATTTCAAAAGTTTGCTAAATGTTGGTCACTTAATAGCCCTTGCAGCATTTAAGCTTTTATCTTTTATACTAGTTTCCAGTTTGCTTAAATGGAGAACCATATTAAAAAGGTGGGAAGTCAGAGCTTAATCCTATTATTAACAGAATGCCAACTTTTTTCTAACAGAGCGTATTTCACACTTAGTAACTTTAAAATATATGAACCTCAACTCCCATAATTAAAATTGCCAAGTGTGAAAAACACTGTTCTAACACTTAGTACAGTCATCTCAAATATAACGTGGGAAGTCATGTAAATTTAAATAATTTATTTATTTTTAAAAAGAGCTTTATTGAAAAATAAACCCCACACTTTTTAGGAGGGCTTACGATTTGAATACCAATGCTCATGGAATTTTTTGATAGCCCATTCAACAGATGACACAGTAAAATGTGGAAAAACTATCATATTTGTTTCATAAAGGTTTTCTAAAAGAGAATAAAAATATTTTCCCTTTTTAATTAGTTTTGGATCTTCTCCGGATATTAATTTGTTGGGATGAAGCTGTATTTTATTCTAAGTCAATAAAAGCAACTAAGACGTTCAAACGTGATGTGAATCAAAATATTAACAAGTTTACTGCTTTATAAAATGAAACCTATTGGGAAAGAGAACCATGGTAAATATACTTATTTAAAATGACTTTGTATTGTTAACATAAATTCCTAACAAATGGAATTTGGTATATTATTAGACAGCAGTAGTAACAAAACAGGACAACCCCCCCCCCCCAATAATAGTACCATATACAGTAACATTATAATGTCAGCAAAGGTAGTGTCCGTCTCTTGTCTTTCAGAAACAATCAAAACCATTGTTTAGGACATACTTACTTGAGAGTAAGTCCTAATGAGAATTACCATGCTGAAACTCCAGTTGTTGATCACTCTGCCTATTTGACAACATGATTGTTCAAAGTGAAATGACATCCTTGAAGACAAAACAAGAGGTTTCTTAATATCCAGTCATATCATCATTTGACAACTTGGACAGTAAATGGATACATGAAGAGTGGTTGGCACGTGTGTGTGCTGTTTCCAGATCAATGGCCTTTAATGGCCACTTAAAACAACCTCCTTGAGTTGGTTTACAGAAGGAGAAGTAGATGGGTGGGTATGTGGGGGTGGGGTTGGTGGAGAACCTTCTCCCAATGTAACCCAACTGAAAGCACCAGAAAGACACATCCCTCCCCCACTCAAGTAATTAGCACCGTTCCTCATTTTAACTGAAGCTTGAAGCAAGCATGACAATATCTTTGGGATAGTCTCAAATTTCAAAGGTTGTCCTCAAAACCAGCTGCGGCTCATGGAATCCGGTTACTTTTTCTGCATAAGTTATAGTGCCAAGCTTTTTGAAATGAAAGCTGTGGAAGGACTAGTAGAGATTAATATAGCGAGTGAAGGGAAGAAATGCTTCTTGTTTGATAAAGCACAGATGTCTGCTTGATTTGTTGAGATGGCTGACAGTTGCTGATGGCTTGCAGCTTGGGATTTACCCCTTACCCTCACCCATTCACTGATCAGTTCAGATTACCAATGTGCTAGAGATGCATTGCTGAGATCCAGTTATCATAAACTGCCTTGCAGGATGAAATAGTGAGCAAAAGATAACATACAAACTGGTAGCTAATTTATCTGATAATTTCCCAGGTACTATACTGAATAAATAAGATTCATTGCCCATGAATCCACTTTGGCATGACATCTTAAATGGCCTTATTATATCACAGTCACAAAATCTACAAAAATAAATACAATAAATACATAGCAAATGTTTATATGCTTTTGGCTCCATAGTCACGCTCCAAATGCTTTCTGGAAAACCTAGGTTTTTACAAGCCTCCAGAAGACTATGAGAGTGGGATCCATCCTTTCCTTGGGAGACAAGATATTCCATAGCAAAGGATCTGCCATAAATAACACGCATTGTGGAGTCTCTTTCACATGTGTGTGTGGGGGGCTTAGTAGGCATCCTCTGGCTGAGTCATATGGACATAATTTATATGGGAAAGAATGATAGTTTACCTCGAAATGATAAATGACCTCTCACTTTTGAAGAAAATATAATATCTAAATTTAGTATTATAAGTAAAACTTAGAATTATAGATCTGAGTTCTAGGATTTCTGTGTACATTCAGTACTTGAAGATGTTCGTATTGATACTTCCCAGAAATCTGTCCTTTTCTCCCTCCCTCACCCTTTTCTGTCAATTCTGTCTCACATCCCCCTTCTTTGTAAAATTCCAGTGTGGTTGCATATTATTCCCTGCTGACTGATGGAAGTAAAATAATTGTTTGGAATGTCTCATGTGAGCTGTTACCAGATACGTTGACGAGTGTGGCTCTAACTTGAGGACACTTCTTAATTGATATGCACAAAGAATATTTTGCAGACTAAAATTATGTCCTGGTGAATTAACTCAGTTACCATTCATATATAATAGATTCCTATAGATAACGGTGTTTTTATTGACGTAAAATCTGCAAGATGAAATTATTCAAGGAATTGAAGTTGAAGCCCAGGATTAGGGTAACAGAATCATTGGTCCCGTTGTTCCATATACAAAGGCTTGGACACTTGAGTCTCTGAGCTGCTGCCTCAGGAAACTACATTATAAAAAAGAGCTTTAAAAATAGGATTGGAGGAAAAGGATGTTATGGTTAATTAAAGGAAGTACCTAATTATTAAAGTGCAACTTTGAACAGATCTTTAAAAGATAATTTTTATATGATGTTTTGTAATTGTAGTACAGGTAGTCCTTGAGTTATGACCACAATTGAGCCGAAAATTTCTGTTGCTTTTGTTAAGTGAATTTTGCTCCATTTTACGACCTTTCTTGATGCAGTTGTTAAATAAATCATAGCAGTTGTTAAGTTAATAACGTGGTTGTTAAGTGAATCTGGCTTCCTCATTGACTCTGCTTGTCAGAAGGTCACAAAAGGTGGTCACATGACCCTGGGACATTGCAACAGTCATAAATGTGAGTCAGCTGCTAAGCATCTGAATGTTGATCATGTGACCCTGGGATGCTGCAATGGTCATGTGAAAAACAGTCATAAATCACTGTTTTCAGTGCCGTTGTAGCTACAAATGGTCACTAAATAAACTGCTGAGGACTACCTGTATAATAGTTTACCTCATGAGAAGTAAGTATACATCATATAAAATAATATAAAAAGTAATAATTAGAAAGAAGGCTTATGTAATTGTTGCTAAGAAAGAAAAACACAGAAAATGAAAATCTAAGTTTCTAAAATGCCATTATAAACAATGTTACATAAAACAAAGCAGTTAAAATAATAATCAGGTAAAAATTAATTTATGAAGGGTTAATAGTATAACTTTAATACTGAAATCTGTACAATGGGAAAAAAATAAAGCTAGAGGAACTTTTCACACCGGTAAAGCATATGGAATTCCAAACAATTAAAATCCATGATTAGCTGAATGAAAGAAAGATAAACCACTGGACGTAAAAATTAGTGCATAGCATGTCTCAGAAGGTGCTATTTTTAATCTTCAAAAGGCAACTGGACTATTTTTTCCTTGAGGAAGAAGAAGAAAATGTTTTGCTTCTCATCCAAGAAGGTTCTTCAGTTCTGATTGAATGGAGGGAATGAAAGAATATTCCTTGCAGTCATGTGGTCATTAGCATTCTTCCTGAGAGTCATAGAGGCCACTTAGAAATTTATCTGCCAACTGCAAGGAATATATGAGATATCCCTTCCTTGCTGTTGTATCTACTGTTTGAAATGAGCAACTTTGCAAATAGATAGATAATAGATAAATGATAGATAGATAGGTGATATATGTTAGATGTTAGATGTTAGATGTTAGATGATAGAGGATAGATAGATAGATAGATAGATAGATAGATAGATAGATAGATAGATAGATAGATAGATGAGAGCAAGAGAGATAAGAAGATATCACTTCAGTCTAAAAGAACAGGGGCAAGAAAATTGGATTGAAGATAAAAATAAACTTTGATTTTAATTTAAATCATAAATGTGATCCACCCATGTATTCCATCACATTAAACCCTACACTCTGGCTGCACCATTTTGAGTAATTCTGTGGATAATTTTGTGATTGTGAAATATCATGTACAATTCTAGAAGGTTTAAATTAGATTGGAATTACATCAGAACTACAACTGTAAAATAGTTATTTAGTCTGCCTTCTAGTGCATGTCTTATAGAGCATTTCCTGCAAATGTGGAATCTCAAGTTCAGTCCCAGGTATCTTCAATAGGATAAAGGATATTGTATAAAGACATTAGGTGATTATTGGAATTAGTGTAGATAAACTACTCAGAATAAGCTCAAGGGGAATATATCCCTCCAATATTATAGTTGACCTTTGCTTCCATAATCCAGGCAAATTATATGCAATAGCAAACAGAACTGGAAATATGTGCAAAGTCAGTAACTGAAAAATAACCCTATTCCTTATTAAAGGGAATGTATTCCCAAGAATTATTTATGAATATTGTTCCCTAAACTATTAGGGAGGTTAGTTAGAAAAATGTACTATTTTTCAAAATAAGTACTACAGTAAAAATAAGTGTACTATTCAATCTTAATATGTTTTAAGTAAAAAGTTAAATGCTGAGATTTATAATAATAATTAGAATTGACTGAACTTATCTTTTAAAATAGCTAGATGAGTTTTGCTCACTTACATGCTTGGGACTGCAAGTCTAAATTGGTCTTGGACAATATTTTTGTCCAAGACACAAGAATAAAAATGAATTTTTATTCTTGTGATATGAGAATTAGTTGTAAAAATTAAGCTAAACTTTAGTGAAAAGCACTCACAAATCTTATGAAATTAAACTATAGATAAAGTGAAAATCACTCATAAATCTTATGAAGCTATGCCTTGTCCAAATCTATCTTAGGGCCATTACAAGTTAACTCCCAAACTGGTATTATCACTATGCATTGTGCAGAAGTTCCACCAAATCTAACATGAATATCAAGTGAGATAGCTTTGGCAGCAATTGTGCTAAACAGGGATTTTCCAAGCTTGGCTGCTAACCCAGGATTCCTTTCTTAGGGTCACATTGCTTGTAGATTACAAAATTGGCTGCAGAATAGATACCCTACTCAAATGACAGATTTGTCCAACCTGTGCAGTGTTAAAGGAAACTGGGCCATGTTTTGTAAACTGGAGCTAATATTTTCCATCTGTAACTAAGTACAAGACTGATGAAGGACAAAAGAATAGTGTGCAGGCACAAGGGACTGCAAAGGGAGCCACAGAAGAGAAAGAGAATATAGTTAGTGCAGCTACTTGGAGAAAGATGGATTCCTTCACAAGCGCTCTCCTTCTTTTTATTTATATATATTTGGTTGATTCAGTATCCAGGATCCTTTTTGTTTTGCAATGGGAAGTTTGCAGAGATGAACCAGTGGTGAACTCTAGCCCAAAATTAAGGATCCTTGTTGGGATTCTTGGTTCCTTATGCCTAAATTCATAATTGGGGAAATTTGTTCATATTTAGGGAAAATATTAGCAAAATATATTGTCATTCCAAATGAGAAGCCTGCCAAGGATTTTGCTGTATGGCTGTTTCTGTTTATTTATGTAAATGTTTTCATCTGGAAATTAGTTAATTGTCTCCTCTTTAAAATATCCAAATACATGTAATGTCTTGATCTAATGGAAGAGCAAGAATGAACCACAAAGTGAAAAGTGATTGATTAATTATGTGCCCTCAAATTAGTATCAACTCCTAAACATAATTGATCTGCATGACAATATGTCCTAACCTGATCTTCAGGTCTTCCAGCAGTGCATTCACTGTAAGTGAGTTCATTCATCTTATCATTGTCCTTCCAAATATTATTCCATATTTCCCAGGATTAGAGCCTTTCTTAGAGAATGAGAGCTTTGCATTATGTGTCCAAATAAGATAATTTGAGTTTGGTCTTTTGTGTCTCCAGTGAAAACTCTGAGTTGATTTGTTTGATGATCCATCAGTTTGTTTCCTTAGCTATCCATGGTATTCTCAAGAGTTCCCAGAAGTTCTCTCTAGCGCTCTCCAGCACTATGTGGTCACTAAGTTTTATATTTATAAAACTTAATGACCACATATATTCTTATTTTTATATTTGTATATTCAGAGAAATAAGAACAGGTATCTTGGAAAGATGTTTTTTTTTTAATAAAGAAAAAAGAACAAG